GTGTGTGTGTGTGTGTGTGTGTGTGTGTGTGTGTGTGTGTGTGTGTGTATATATATATATATATATATATATATATAGAGAGAGAGAGAGAGAGAGAGAGAGAGAGAGAGAAAAGGCTGACGTGAGTGAGGACAGGCATGCGGCGAAGAAGTCCAACCGCACTTCACAGTAAAGTGACAATACGATATTAGAGAGCGAGAGAGGAAGGAACAAGGTCTCCTTCCTTTTTCCTCACACGAAAACAAGAGTTTCGGAACTTAGAATGATCATGGAATACTGTATTTTTCGCACTAAAAGGCACACTGGATTATGAGGCGCACCTTCAAATAATGGCCTATATTTTAATTTTTTTTCATATATTGCACGCACTGGACTATAAGGCGCAATCTACAATGCATCCACTAGATGGAGCGACAGGTACGTCCTTGTCCATCTCCGTGCCTTCTCTTCTTCCGTTAAACTCGAGAGGCGTTCGTGACCGCCTCCAAAAAACGTAAATTAACGATTGCTTCAATGAAACTAGGAAAATTGAAAATACAGTAATGCATCAAAACAAAAAATCACAAAATAAATTCTATAGCCCCCCCGACAGAATTTATTTTGACATTTCCTTGAGCGTAGCTGCAACAGAACAATCAGATGTTAGTAATTTTGATCTTAGATGCATTATTTTCACTTTTCGTAGTTTCACTGAAGGAATAGTTAATTTACGTTTTTCCGAGGCGGTGACGAATGCCTCTCGAGTCGAACAGAAGAAGAGAAGGCACGTAGATGGACAAAGACGTACATTACCTGTATTTGTTAAGACTGTAAAAACCATTAATAAAGTGTGCGTTTTAAAAAAAACAACACCACAGCCCTCCTTTTTTCGGAGCCGCAACAAAAACTTATTTAATAAAGCAGCTACACAGTTCACTGAACCAACAGCAAGTTATAACATTGTAAGCAAGTCTCCAGCAAGGAGCCATCTTGGGGTCGACATATTACCATAATGACCATACACAAGGCACACCGGATTTTAAGGCGCGCTGTGAGCTTTTAAGAAAATGGAAGACTTTTCAGTGTGCCTTACAGTGCGGAAAATACGGTACATTTTAGAAATGTAAAGATGTCCATATACCTAATGTTACGATTAAAAAAAAAAAAAAAAATAGCATCTTTACGCAAAGAAATTCAAGAAGAAAAAAAAACATTCATAAAGACTTCACTTCGGCAGGGATGTCACAGTTGCGTGATGACAATCATTTTAGAGCCTTTCGTTGGCCCAAAACTAAGATAGGAGCAGTAACTACTTTCATACGTTTGTTAAGTCATCTGTGACGCATATTAAAGTAGCAAATAATCAAATAAAATCAATGTTCCAGCGTAATTGTCACTTGCATTAGCACCTATGAGGGGATTTTCTTTTAAACCTTTCCTCCATTCTTTGCTGAAAATCTCACCCATTGGTTAATCATGTGCTCAGTCGGAAGCCAAGCCCAATGTAAAAGGATCGCTATGGTGCCAAGGAAGTGAATTGAGGAGTTTCATTATGGCATCTCTCAGCAATTGTGCTGTCATTGACTCACTCTGGATTGTTGCTCTTCACCCGGGGAACACTGCATGAATAAATAAATAAATAATAGCACAAACGAAGTGAGTGATGTATTCCGTAAGTAACACTTTCCTTGTTGCATTTGTATGGCCGCAGTGTAAATCTTGAAGGTCTTTCGGCATCTCTCAGAATTATTTTTTTCCCCATTTCTTTTTCCAGTTCCATTTTAACCCTGCGCAGTCGATGCTGGTCGTGGAAGGAGAGGATCTGGACAGCGTCAACACAGCCATGACCAAGGTGTCCTACATCAACTCACGCCAGTTTCCAACGCCGGGCTTGCGACAGCTCCACATCAGCACCACTGTATCGTGAGTGCTTCTGTTGTTCTCTTTGAAATGCATGCGTCCATTTTTGGATAGGGCTTGTTTCCTGGCATCTGAGAAGTGTCTTCAGGCATGGCAGCCCAAAGCATTTCTCTTAGAGGAGCACTGATATGCTAATTAAACATGACTAACACACGTAACCATAAATATCAAGGAGATTTTTTTTTTTGCCTTGTTCACCTATATATTTTTTAAATAATGTCAAAGGACAACTTGTGTCGACAAGAGACAGGACAAGCACTCTGAGTCTATAGAGGGATGCAATTTAATCAATACTTGCATGCAAGGAGACAGGTCCATTACGGCCTGGCAACTGCTTGCCGAGAAGTGTCTTATTTTCCTTGAACATGCACTGCCTCATGCAACTGATGCCCCCCAACCAATGACGCCTCGCATTGTCTCACAGCAAAGCGCTAATATAATATCAGAGAGATATTTTTGGAAGGTCAAACATTCCACTGTTCTCAAATAGCTTAATTTTCATTTTTCTACACAAAATAAGATGGAAAAATAAAATAAACAAATCAAAGAACGTAATTTCCGCTGGTACCGGATCGGCTCAGGGTCCTGCGCCTGCGTATGATGTCGAGCACAGCGCAGTTACTGATTGGTTGAAGGTCAGAAACCATGCAAACACGAAGTGTTTGTGGTGGTCGTTTATTATTAAATGAAATACATTAAAAAAATTAATATAGTTTGAAAAGTTCGGCTGGTGGCTAGCATGGAGCTAACGCTAACACGGACACATACGCATAAAACTTCGCTTGTGTGTATGTAATAGTGCTAACTCCGTGTTAGCGTCTTAACACTGATTTTCCCCATTCCTGTGCGTGTGTGTAACATCAGGTCTGGTGCTTCGGAGCACCTGGATCCGGTGACAACCACACTGGCATGTTCTTTATCTGTTTAAATGTGTATTCAGCAGTAGCAGCAGCAGCGAGTTTTTCACATATGTGGCTTATGTGTGTATTCAAGATGGTGCGGGGCACCGTGGACACTGTCACGTTGTCGCTAAAGACGGCCTTTGAATGAGACAGACCTAACTATTTAACACGGAGGCGGTGCCAATCTCTGGCGGCATCCATCTCAAACTGGCGGGTGCCGCACTAACATTGAACTTTCATATCAAGGCGGGGGCCTCAAACGAGCGCCCAATATGCCCCATGGGCCGTGAGTTTGAGAATCCTGCCGTATACTGTTAGCTCGATCCAAATTGTGTGCTCACAGTTATATGCAAAATGTATTTTATTTCTTTTACTTTCCACAGACGGCTGTAAACAATCTGATCACACCGGCAGATGCCCGAGTCCTCTCTAGAAAATACAGTGCACAGAGTTCACATACATTGTTTCTCTCCCTGCAGGATGCTAAGTATAATGGGGCTCTTCATGGCGGTGGATTAGGCCCTCGCTGAGGCCAGGTTCACGTTTGTTTGTCACAGCCGTAAAAACAATGAGAGGCTTGCGCTGCCTCTCAATGCGTGTTCACACTTGCGCTGCCCTCAGAACAGCACACGGCAATAAGCTGCTCCACTTTCACACGGCTGACTCTATGTGGCATCAACTCGGAGCAATTTTGACCTCGTATTTTAGACAGTTACAGTGTTTATATCCACACTGCATTCACGGGCTATGGCTGAAATTAGATTCAGTTAGCTGGAAAAACACTCGAGTGAGGAATACAGTTTGTAGAAAAGGCAGCATTGTGACAGCCACGTTGTGAAGTCTGTCCTGCTACTCATCTTCTTGACACCTGCAGAGTCAACATAGATTAGAAATTGAAGACATTTTATTATCAACGCTCAGTGGACAAAATTGCAGAAAGACATACCGCATTTTCTGCACTAAAAGGCGCACTGGATTATGAGACGCACCTTCAATGAATGGTCTATTTTTTTTTTTTTATATTGGACGCACTGGATTATAAAATGCAATCTACAATGCATCAGCTAGATGTAGCTTCTTCCTTTCAACTCGAGAGGCGTTCATGACCGCCTCCGAAAAACGTAAATTAACAATTACAGTACTTCAATGAAACTACGAAAATTGAAAATAATGCATAAAAACAGAAAATCAAGTGAGGAAATCACAAAATAAAGTCTTTAGCCCCCCGTTGGCATTTCCTTGAGCGTAGCTCCAACAGAACGATCAGATGTTAGTTAAATGTCGGAGATCGGACTGTCTCAGAAGTGTTTGTTATTTATTCCTTTGTTGTGTATTAACAAACGAGGAAATCACAAAATAAATTCTGGAGGAGGGCTAGAGAATTTATTTTGTGATTTCCTTGCTTGATTTTCTGTTTTGATGCATTATTTTCAATTTTTGCAGTTTCATTGAAGGAATAGTTAATTTACGTTTTTCCGAGGCAATCATGAACGCCTCTCGAGTCGAACGGAAGAAGAGAAGGCACGTAGACGGACAAAGACGTATTTGTTGAGACTGTGAAAACCATTAATAACGTGTGCGTTTAAAAAAACAACAACACCACAGCTCTCCTTTTTTCGGAGCCGCAACAAAAACTTATTTAATCAAGCAGCGACACAGTTCACTGAACCAACAGCAAGTTATAACATTGTAAGAATGTCTCTAGTAAGGAGCCGTTTTGGGGTCGACATATTATCGTAATAACCATACACAAGGCGCACCGGATTTTGTGGCATGTGGTGAGCTTTTAAGAAAATGGAAGACTTTTTGGTGCGCCCTATAGTGCGAAAAATACGGTACTTAAGTGCTATGTTACAGCAACTACAAACCATTTCAAAATATGTTTTTTATTGTTCTCCCACACGTTAAACTGATTAAACCACACATTTTATAATAATCCTTTGCGTCTGCGGTTCTCTCTCAGTGGGGGTGAGCATTTTGAATTTAGAATGGGAACAACATGTTGAATGTGTCATTGGAAAAGAATACGTGGAAGTTGTGTGAGTGAAATTGATCAGATTGAATGGCAAAGGGAGCGAAACATTTAGAATTTCGTCTGGGAATGAAACATGTTGCACTGAATATGCTCATCCCTCTCTTGAATTGGAAATGAGGGGGAATTTGGGGCTGGGAAATGTGCAATTGTGGGAAAACTGTGATTGTGGGGACCGAGAGAAATAATCAGAGATGAAAGTCCTCCGGATTTTCCCGGAATTCCGGGTTTTTCAAATTTTTATGAAAATCTCTCCGGAGAATTGAGGAAAAAATGCCTCAAATTAATCCGGATATTAGTTGACAACATTGAACGAAGACGCGTTGGAGTTCGTTGTTTTTCTTTCACGAGCGTAGCCATGTTGAGACACTAACACTAGTAACAGTAAAGAGATTTTCGTGTCTTTATAAACACACTTGTTTACACCAGTGGAACGAATAAAAGACACCGTGGACAAGACAGTTGTCGTAAAAAATATATTTGGACAAAAAGGGAAACACACAGATTGGCAGAAAAATGTGTCCGTCCGACTTCGAGTGTCGTCTTGGCTAGCTTAGCTTAGCTGTTGTCGTGTGCGACGTCGAGTGTGTGACGTCTTTGCGTTGGCGCTGATTGGTTTCAAATCAAAAGACGCGCTTGCGTACATGTTCGCGCTGAAGCACGCACAGCAGAGAGCAGCGGACTATCTACTGCTGAGGCTCGCTTAGCTTGAATGGCGTCGCCACAACAGTAATACCCTCACCTCGCATTCTCATGGCCTCGCCATATCTCGGAGATTTCGAAATTTCGGCAAGAATGGAAGCCACAAAGGGTGCATGAGCCCGAT